ATGGATGAGTTTATTGGTAGAAAAGATGATGAAATGATGAAAATTTAGTTTATTAGTGTTAATTTGGTGCCAACTGGTGGTGACTGATTATGCGTTGGAAGCTTTAAAAATGTGCAGCTTATTTCTTTCCGGTTTCCAGCTGTGGAACGAGTGAGAACCTACAATGTGCTCCATCATGTGTTTATGGAGATTTTATCTGCTCTTGTTAAAATCACCACCAAAGGTTAAGGAAGGTTTGAGCTTCACGTTTGTGTTTTCAATCAGAAAAGCCGGTTTATCACTCCGTGGAGCCGTACACTAAGAAGGAGCTGAGCGCCGTTTCTCTGCCCGACATCATCCGAACCTACAAGGTGATGGCGGCCGAGAACATCCCAGAGAACCCGCTCCGCTTCCTCTACCCCAACAACCCCAAAGACAAGGCGTTTGGGAAGTACTACCCCAAACCCTCAGAGAGTAAGAGCCGCCGCCGCTGCTGTCATTGTGGTAGACACAAGTCCTAATCAGAACCCGATTAACGCTTTAATGCTCTTGCAGCTCAGGAGCCGATGGACGTGGAGAACACGGACAAGAGCGGCTACATGAAGACGGAGCTCATATCCGTGTCAGAAGTGTAAGAACAGAAAGCAGGCGGCTGTAGTGGATCGACTGAAACCGTACCGGACCAATCGACTGGCTGCAGAGGAGCCGAACCACATCAGCCTCGATGAATTACAAATACAGATTAAAACAGAGTATTTTGCAGCACATGGAATCATTTGAAGCTGGTTCATTTACAGTGAAACTGTAGCTGCTCATATTCATACAATGTCTGAAAGTAAAAACTTCATCAACTGTCAGCACAAGACAGACGCTAGCTGCTGTTTTCAGATGATCTTTAGTCGACTCGTTGTCCATCCGTTTGAACAGACGTGGTGTAAATTGCAGTTTAAAGTTGTGAAAAGGTCAAACTGTTCACAGGTTTGTTCCTCCTGCTGTCAAAAGTAATGGATTAATCCTGGAGGCTTTTTTTTGTATGAAAGAAACGCCGGCGATTGTCTGATGAATAACCGTTTGAGAGCGTATCGATGACCCGATTGATCAGTCGATGTGGACACTACAGCCCGACAACACACAATCATTACAATAAATACAATTAAATGTGTCATTAATAAGAGATTAATACATATTCTTCTGGTGCAGACATCCGTCCAGGCTGCAGGACAACATGATGCCGATGTCTCCCGACGACTACAAAGCCCTGGAGCAGTACGTCAGCCCCAGAGACATCGATGCTATGGTGAGGACTACTTCCTGGCCTGGACTCAGCTGACACCTGCAATTAGCTCTAAATCAAACCAAGACACCAACATCGACCGTCCTAACCCATATCCCAATGGGCTGCTTTACTCTGTTGAGCTGAAAGTTGCAGTAATTTCAATGTTTGCATGATTGCTGTGGCGCCACCTTTTGGTGAAGTTCCAAGAAACAAATAGAGAATCAAACATTTGGTTGAAATGAAGTTTTGCGACTTCATAATCGCTTAAAAGTATCCTCATAAGCGTGCAGGGTTCGTGGTCCGGACAAGAGATTTCTTCTGTCGGAACTACGAAACAGAAATCCACTCTGATGTCCGTCCAGCTGTAAACGGTCCCGTCTGTCTGTCTGTCTGTCTGTCTGTCTGTCTGTCTGTCTGTCTGTCTGTCTGTCGCTTTCAGGCCCACAATCTGATGGAACTCGGACAGTTTGACGTTCAGGTAGAATCAACTTTAACGCCATGTTGTGTCTCCATCACTGTGAATTATGAAACTCCCTCCACTGCACCTGTTTACCCAGCATGCATCACAGCTACGAGCATGTGGCCTCTAGTAGCATGTAGGCTGTTAGATGGTCTGTACACTGTTAGATGTACACTGTGGGGTGTTGCTTCGTGTGCACAAATTAAATACTGGGGCTGGTTTTAGACTGGTTCTAGACTGGTTTTACATTGGTTTTGACCGGCTTTTACCCTCTGTTTAGACAGCTTTTGGACACAGTGACTTGGTTTCAAACTGGTTTTGCACTGGTTCCTGACTTGGCATTGGACTTGGTTTTGGGCTGATTCTAGACTTGGTTTTGGACTAGTTTTGGGTCAATTTTCAATGAGTTTTTAACAGGTTTTGCTCTTGACTAGGTGTTAGATTTGGTTTTGGACAAGTTTAAGACTGGTTTTAAATCTGGTTGCTGGTCTGGTTTTAGACTTGGTTTTATCCTGGATTTGAGCTGCTGTTTGCCTGGGTTTTGGACTGGTGTTAGACTTGGTTTCATACTGGTGTTAGACTTGGTTTTGAACTCGTTTTAGACCGATTTTAGCGGGTTTAGGTTTCTGGTTTGGTTTCAGACTGGATTTGAGCTGCTGTTTGCCTGGGTTTTCCTTTTTTTTAAAGTCTGGTTTTAGACTCTTAAAGACAGCTTTTGCAACAAGTGTTGGTTTCAAACTGGGGTTTAGTCTGGTTTTTGCTGATTTTGGACTAGATTTAAACTGGTTTTGCCAAGAATTTCGACTTAGTTTCAGGGAGGTTTTGGACTAGTTTTAGACTGGTTGAAGACCTGGTGGTGGACATAGTTTTGGAAAGGTTTTGGACCTCCTTGAGACCTGGTAGAAGACTTGGTTTTAGAATGGTTTGACACTGGTTTCTGGATTGGTTTTGGACTAGTTTGAGACTGGTTTAGAGTCTTTATAGTCGACTTTTGGACCTTTTGGTTGAGGTGTTGGTTTGAAACTGGTTTGTGGTCCTGGACTGGTTTTAGAGCGTCTCACTGCCACCTGTCTCCATGTGACTCCTCTTGTGTCTGAACTTAGTTTGCATTAGAGATGAATGTGAACAAGTGAAGCGCTGCATGTGTACCAGCATCTGTCTGGTGTGTCTTTGTTCTCTTTGAAAAAGTGAGTAAACATCTGGCTGTTCTTTGCTTTCCAGATGAGTTCAGAGTTCCAAGACGAACACTGAAGACGAGTCCTTGTCCCACCTTCATCCGGCTGCTCGCTGTACTTCTTCTCAGAGGTCTTGGCGTCGTGTGCGTCCCTGTAAGAGGACTTCACGACTGCAGCTCGCCACCTTGCAGAAACTGTACAGAAACAAAGAGGAGTTATCTTCCTGAGATCTGTCACTTTCTTTTGTACATACACTGAATTTCTTTTGTATTAAATGTGAATTTCAGCTCCAAGGTGGCTCCTGCTGTCCAACAGTACAACGCAATAATGTGATTCTGCATGTTTTATTTTATGGAAAATAAGCACCAGAGGACAACGGGAACACACTGATTCCTAATAGTCTGTATTACAAGTTTGAGTTGCTTCTGCGGGGAACAAATGATTTTTATTTAAGAAACTGACTTCATGATGGTTTAAACTTTACTAATTAATCATTTTCTGATCTGACTTTTCAACGTGTTGCAGTCCAGCAGAGCCCATACGAAGCAATGCGCAAGTTTAGTTATAATTGTGCTGTGTTTGGATTAAATCTGGAGAAAATTCAAATGGACACGCTGCCGTCTGTCATTTCTGCTTCCACTTTCATGCAAAGAGCTTATCATCACCAGCCAGAGAGATCATGTTTGAGCCACGTTACGGTAGAAATCGGTTTAGTCGATGTTCCTCATCATTCATGCCAGGAGTAGTCATCGCTGCATGAAGATTATTACTCAGAACAAAGAAATATGTCTTTTTCAAGTGACAAAGTCTAGAAATTAGCTAAATGCAGGAAAGCAGAGTTTCTCTCCATACGTACCTGTACTGGGGCTGGTTTATGTGAATCTTTATCGATGAGTGGATTTTGTCCGGTTGTCGTCACTGCAGCTGATCAAAAAGGCATTTAAAGGATTTAAATCCACGTTGGCTTGAACGCTGTGGTCGAAAGTTAATTCAAGTCAAGAGCAGCGACTACAAATTGACTTTGTGGTGAAATCGTCCCCTCCGCTGCTCGAGTCTCAGTTTTTAACCCGACATGGAGGAGAAATCCCCAACATGAGGGACGTCCATCAAGGCGAGCTGTAGCTGAATCTGATCGCTTGTGACTCGTTTTCTTAATAAACGCAGAATTTCCAATCAATATGTGACATAATTTTACACGGAGTAGTAAAAACAGCTCAGACAGTTTGGAAATAACTTTGGAAAAATATTCCTCGGAAGAAGTGGCAAGTGTGGAAAACTCTCTCAAAAGGTCAAACTTTCTCAAAATAAAAATCTACACAAATCATTTTGCAAAACGAACATTTCAAAGGGACGACAGCCGGCCCGTTGCTGTGCCTGACGGACTGAGGATTGTGCTGTAAAGGTTCTTTTGCTTCGTTGTCTTTGTGAGAGAAACCACAACAAGATTTATCGTTGTATACGTCTTCTTTGAAGCAAATCGGACTTTGTCAGCTTTGCTGGAAGGAATCTCAGGAGACGTCTGAGGCTGAAGCGTTTATTGCCGCTCGATACGAAGGAGAATCAAAGAGCACAAGAAACCTGAGTCCTGGTCATGAGCAGGGTGCGTTTTACTGCCTCTTCTGACAGCTTATCATAAATGCTGTCGACGGGGTCACGGTTTAATCTTTGCTCAGAGCAAAGCAGCATCTTCTAACACACCCTGCGTCAGGTCGGGATAAACAGGTTCACATCAATAAATCAGTTACAGAACACGATCGTCAGAAAACACACAGAACATTGATGTGAGTCCAGTTCAGCAAATCAGAACTTTTTTTTTCTGTATCGTGAATAAAAGATTGTCCTAAAACCATTTTCATAATAAAAGTAAATAGATTTTTTTCCCCCATAATCATGTTGCTTCCCTTTATGTGAACATTCAATAAAATGCATTTAAACTGAACACTGAACAGCAACATGAACACCAGAGTGTAAAAAGGACTGAATGCTTTTTTTGTAATCTTTAGCATGAACAATGTTAACCATAAAAGTGAATTAAAAAACCAAAGCACACACTAGAAAAGCACTTTCAGGTCAAAATAATGTTGTACTTTCTAATTTAACTGTATATTATTTGACCCATTTAAGTTTTTACTCTTTTCTCTTTCACACCCACATAACTCATATTTAGAGGATCCAAATGACAGAAAAACAAAATGCAAATGAAATATGAAAATACAGAACTTGATTTTCTTTATGCTAATTTCCCCAAAAGTTCCTCATTTATTAGAAGTTAACTGATAAATGCATTTTCCTCATTTTAAATGTCCTTGTGTGTGTGGTTTTTTTTCAATTATAATGTCAAAATCAACACGACAAAAACTAAAACTAGCTCTTAAACATTTCCTTTGTCGTGGAAAATGCATTCTGAGGCCAAAGAAACACATCTAGTCTGAGTTTCTTCTGCTTTCTTTTGCTTTTGTTCTCGTTCTTTCCCTCAAATCAGAATCTCATTTCAGTACAGGAGAGGAAAACTTAACTAAAACACAAAGTCAAACCCAAACTTCTCAGTTCCAGCATCAAAACAGTTAAAGCTCCCGTCTAGCCGAGCAGCAAAGCACCAACACCGTCCTCCTGATAAAACCAGTTGTGAACAATGAAGCCCTCAGTGAGGCGGAAACGCTGCACAACGTACAACCTGCCGCCACCCACAGCCTCCTGCAAGCATCAAAATAAAAGAAGAAAAAAGGTAAAATAACGAAGCAGCGAGCCGACGGACTCGCCAGGTTTCTACCAAACATCGTCGGATTCTCCATTTTTTTGTGGACGTAAATCAAAAACCAGTTGTGCAAATTAACCACAACAACGTGGGTTTTCATTTTCATCTCTTTGGAGCAGCTTTTTGTTTTCAGCTCTCGAGAACTTAAACCACGTCGTAGCTTTGAAGGGAGACAAATTTGGATTTTTGCACGGAGACGAGAGACGTTTTAGCTTCGACAACATGTGATCTGTGTCATTTAGTTTACATCTGAATCGCTGTAGCTCCAAAAGGAATTATGAATTTAGTGTAAAATGGAGCAAATGACACAAATCTAAGNTTCCAACACGCCTGAGTCACATGATCAGGATCATTATCAGGCTTCTGCAGAGCTTGATGATGAGCTGATCATTTGAATCAGGTGTGTTGGAAACATCTAAAACATGCAGGACTGTGGCCCTCCAGGACCAGGATTGGACACCCCTGGGTTAAACCGTTGGAAGCAGGCCCCTGTTGTTGGAGGGTCTGAGGATATTTTACATGCATGTGCACCATACACATCTGTCCACATGCAAAGACCTGCAGCCTTTAGCTTACAATGGCTGCTGTAGCTCAGAATGTTCCATGATGGAAAACACAGGAATCACAAAGAAACAATCATGCATCAGAGGTGTTATTGTAGGAAATATGACAAGATCACACCTGTGTGGAATTTACAGCCTCTTGGCTCACACACCTGGATTGATTTACCTGCTCAGGCTCATATACCCGTTTTTAGTAAACCGATGCTACTTTCCAACTTGCTTTGGTCCCAAAACATCCCACAGTCGTGACCTTTGCAGGCTGAACACTCTGAAGTATTATTTAACAAACTGTTAGCGAGAGACACTGTGATCTTCTAACCCACCGTGTTATGTCGCTGTTCTTGTTCCAAATGTTATTTTCAGCTCTTTGAACGCTGCGACTGGATTAACTGCACTTTAGTGGTTTTACACAAGCAGCCTCGAGCGGGTCACACGGAGTCTGACTGGTTTGTCTGAGCTCTGCAAAGCCTGCTTCAACATGTCATGATGCACAATTACAGACATTAAATATATAGAACCCAGCCGCTGTCGGGCCTCCGAACCCCCGTATGCGGCTCACGGCGATCATTGCTGTACACGAGTATCGGAAATGTCATCAGGTAATGAAGTGTTAAAATGTCACAATGAGTCAAACCTGATTTAAAAAAACGTTGCCTCGATATGCGCTTTCTTTTTTAGCTGGAAAATAGGACTGAGGGTCTCAGCAAAGCCCAGATTTGATGGTTTAGACGTTTGACTCAGACTGTTCACTCCTCTGTTGGATTCTCTTTAATGCTTTTATGGTTTTCAAACATTCCCCTTTTTTTCCTGCGTTTTCTTTTCTTCTACACGTCCTCTTTCTTTACAATAGACTCAATAAGAATTCAACCGGTGACTTTGCACTTTTCACCATGTATGTATACATGTACATAACCTTATTATTATTATTCTTTATCTGTTTTATTCCCTTTTTGCACTATTTGGAAATTTGATTTATTTATTTCTGCTATTTTTATCTCTCTCTATGTTTGTATACATTCATATATATATTTCTTGTGTGTTTTATTCTTTACTCTTATTTATCTTATTATTATTGTTTCGGTGTGGGACAGGTAAACACTTCACTGCCGTTATATCGTGTATAACTGCGTTTGTGACCAATAAAAGACCTTGAATCTAATGTAAGGCAGAATTTTTGATGATTTAAAAGACAGTTTTTCTTATATCCACTGGTGTGTGCTGTATTGATTCATTTATATTGTCATGCTGAACCACTGCATTGCATTTTGCATCTTTTGCTGTTTCCCTGATGTTTAATGGTCTTCTTTAGTACTTCTTTGGCTCGTCTGGTCAGCGCTTTGTAAACTTAAAATATGCTATATTAATATTATTAACATAAAGAACCAACAGTGCTTCTTATTGGATTCGTGCCAGAATTGCAGTTTTGTATCATTAATTAGGTAATAAAAAGCTCCTTACCGTGCTGCTGTCTGCATGCTGCAAATATACCAAAACCAAAGTTTACAAATGCACAGTGCACTTTGTGATATCTGCTGCTGCCAGTTTAAGTTTATCTAGAATAAGTCAGCAGCAGAGCAAGACTTTCACTGTGCAGTCTGGGTTTCTGTGCATGTGACAATAAGCCTCCTGATTACACACATACAGGAGCTTAGATTGTGAAGAAATGAACAAAACAGCAGTTCTATCTATTTCTAACCTCAACCTAAAGAAATCAAGCTTGTCACCTTACCTTCCTGAGGCGGCACTTCGATGGAGAAAACGTTCTGCACAGGAGCTGGCGTGGGAAACTCAAAGTTAAGTAGAAAACACCTGGAGGGGTGGGAAGGTATCAGCAGTAACTCCGGTCTGACAGAAGAAATGGTCGATGAAAAGTTTTTAACTCCTGCGTGGTGACAGATGTGCAGCATCACAACGTTCACTGATGACCAGTTAAAGATATTTTCTACATTTTTGTTCTGTATCAGCTGATATCATTCAGGAAAATAACACACAATCCTCCATAAAGGTGTGAATTTGTAGCAGGAGGAGGAACGGGAAGCTCTCGTCCTGCTTGGGAAGGGGATCCACAAAAGGTCATATCACCCTGAACGGAAAGTCTGATCTGCTGCTTTCCAACGAGCTGAGCAGTTTTTACAAACGTTTAAATGTTTATGATTTTAGTGATGAACCGTCAGCTGTTAGAAATATTGGCTCTTCTCAGAGCAGCATTGTTGTTAGCAGCAACAAAGTCTGTGAGCTCTTCCGTGGCGTCAAGGAGAGGAGAAGTCCTGGTCCTGATGGGATTGGAGGTCG